CCCCCTCCGAAGAGGCTCAGCTTCCCCTCACCTGCACAAGAGCTTCATCCCCACCCTCCTCCTCCTCACGTGCACTTTGGGAAGGACTGATTATTTTTTTATTCTTCTTATTATTTATATCCCCCCACACACACACTTTGCTTTCTTTTGCAAAACCCGATTCCGTCCGCGCATTAAATACGTTTAATTAATAATAATAATAATGAATAAATAGAACAAAACAACCTCGCAGGTGTAAATAAATACCCCGAATGCTCAACGCAGCGGGGTGGGACGAGCAAACCTCAGGTTTCACCCTAGGGGGGGGGGAAAGCAGGGGGGGGTGGCATAGGGACCTGCACGGCCTTATCTCTATAGCAGCCCCGGGGGCGGGGAGGGGAGCGGCGCTGAGATAAGATCCCAAACCGGCCGCATTCCAACCCCCCCCGCCCCCCCCCTCCTCGCTGAAATGCTACTAAAAAGTGGCTCAGCGAGAGACGGAAAAAGGAATAACGGCAATAAGAAAAAAAGAGAAGGGAGAAGGGAGAGAAAGAGGAGAGCGGGGAGGGAAAGAGCGAGGGAGAAAAAAAACGAAAAGCCAAAAAAAAAAAAATCAACTTACGGGGGTCGTCGGGGGGGGGGATGCGCGGGGGTCCGCGCTGCGCAGCGCCGCGCTCCGCACTAAGCGGCCGGTCCCGCTGTCCCGACGTTAAACAGCTCTAGCAGCTGCGGTGGTGGACAGTTAAGATTATATATGATGTAAATATATTGTGGGTTTGTCAGCTCCCCCAAACCATAAAACTTAGTTTAATGACATCACGTGTTCCCTGAGAGCCACTCAGGGCTTTTGCTTCGGGCCATCCACATAAATAACCTTCAAAAGTTTTAAACTAGTAAATTTCGTCCTCCGAGACCCCCCGAGTATTTCTGCTAATGTTGCCATGTTCTCGGTGAAACTCATAGAGAGCGGTTTGTGGCTTTTTTGGGGTTTTTTCTTTTCTTTTTTTCTTCTTTTTTTTGAAGTCCCGGATTGATGTGTGTATATATATATATCTATATATATATATAGGAATGGAACTTTGGTTGTTTTGGGGCCATTCTGAATTCCCACGGGGGTGACACGGATGGCGGGGCGAGGTAAGTGCTTTTCCATTTCCTTCTTGTCTTTGGGAAGGGGCTGAAGAACCGAAAGGGGGGAATAAAAGGAAAATCTCGACGAAGCAGCATCGGCGACACCGCTCACCTCCCCCAAAAAACACCGAAATGCCCCCCTAAAAAATCACACAGCTTATCCATAAAGCCCCCCAAACCCTCCCCCTCCATCCATAGGGCAGGATGAGCGGATCATGAATCACAACCGCGTCCATCCGTGGGGTGGGGTGGGCAGATGATGGGGTTGGAATCGTCAAGGTTTGGATTTGGGGGTGTTTTTTGTTTTTTTTTTTGTGGTGGTGATGATGATGATTAGCAGTGAAAACACGCGTGTGTCCCATCTGGTTAACCCTTGCCTTGCCGAAAACGCCTTGACAGCCTTCCGGGTTTTAAAAAAAAAAAAAAAAGGAGAGAAAAGGCGCAGTGAAAATGTGCGAAATGTAATCAGGATGCAAATAATAATCACGAGACGGCGCAATGATACCGGGGAGAGCGAAGGGAATACGTTGTTTAAGAGAAAATAGAACGGAATAATGAGCAATTACCAGTACACGCCGAGAGGGTTTTGTGCCTCAACAACCCGTCAATAGATTTACACAGCATGGGGAAGAAATAAAAAGCGAAAAGGAACTGATTGGAGCCGCTCCGAGCGGCCCTACAACCACCCCGGGCCCCATAGCAGGAGCCCCAAAGGGCTCAGGCACAAATCACTGCTTTCTTTCTCAGTATTTCACCCCAAAATGGTAGGAACCGACAGTTGGGACAAGGGGAAATAAACCCCAACCCTCCTCCCCCCTAAAAAAAAACCCAAAAATGGGGGTTTTCGTGGTGTTGGATGGCAGGGAAAATAGCTGTCGGGTGGGTGTTGGTGCGTCACACGTCGCCAAAAGACCGCAGCGCAACGTCCAGGAATCATAAATACGTTCAGCCCCATAAAAGACGACCGCTTTAATTGCGAGAGGTTCCCCACTTAGGCACTAATTGGACCCGGAAAGGTGTCCGGAGTCGCTGCTTGGAAGAAACTTTTGTTTGGAGGTTCAGGAAATGGTTCCATTGTTTCCGATGTGTAAAGGAAATCCTATAAAGTTTTATGGAGCTTATTGGCTTCTGCCAGCATTTGTTTCTCTTGTAAATAGCCCAGAGGAGGAGGAGTGACCTCTGAGTGTGTGTTTGTGTGTGTGTGTGAGTGTGAGAAATATAGGTAGAGCCCTATGCAAATGGATGGGCAGACGTACGAACGTGTGCGCGCACCTCTATAGGGTTCGGCGGCCTTCGAGGGGGGGGTTGAGGAGGGGGGGAGGGAAAAGGGAAACACGTGGAGATGGGCGCGTTTAGAACGACCCTACCCAAACATTTTGTCAGCCCCGCGTCGGTGCCATATGGCTGCAGGGGGAGAGGACCCATATGGAACGCAGTGTCGGCCCCAATGCTTCCAGTCCATGTGTTCCCCATTAGACCCACAGACGGTATCGAAACAGATCGAAATTGGGGAGGGGGTGAGGGGGTAAAGCCGAAAATAATAATAAAATCAAGGTGTTCCGGGGGGGAGGGTGGGCAAAGAGATAAGGAGAGCTGCCCCCCATCAGCCCTGTGCCCAGCATAGAGCATTGAGGGGGTGCGGATCAACGGACCCCACAATGCGTCCTACTGGATGGGAGGTTGGGGAGGGGGGGGTCCCCCTACCAGCATCCCCCCCACACACACACACACAAATCAACTCCAGTGCTGGGAACTCCTCGTTGAGCCCCTTTCCTACAGG